TGCTTTCTCTCACATGCCCCCTCTTCATGAGTTCTTCAACCTGCTTTTGAAGTTCTTTCATCTCATTGGGGTTGCTTCGATATGCTGGTCGGTTCAGAATTGTTGCACCTGGAATGAAGTCAATCTGATGCTCAATTCCTCTTATTGGTGGTAAACCATTAGGGATGTCTTCTGGAAACATGTCCTTGAAGTCCTGCGAAAGAGATTTAACAACACTAGGCAAAGAATCATTAAGTTCGTTAGTGTTGAAATAAGCATCTTTATAGAGAAGCACAAACATAGGCTGCTTTGCAAAGAACGCAGCCTTGACATCACTTTCTTTTGCATAAACACCCACTGATTTTCTCTCTTTGTTTTCAACACTCTAAATCTTTTCTCTCTTTTTTAACTCTTTCTCTGCTGTTTTCTCTCTGTTTTTCATACCCTCAAGCTCACTCTCTTTTCTCAGCTTACTCTCTTTTTTCAGTCTCAGTTGATCCTCATAAACTTGCCTTGGACTTAGCGGCACAAGAGTAATTGTTTTCCCTTCCATGATGAACAAATAGCGATTTTTGAAGCCATCATGTGTTACTCTCCTATCATATTGCCATGGTCTCCCCAAAAGTAAATGTCCAGCATGCATGCGAACCACGTCACAAAGTACCTTATCCTTATATTGTCCAATAGAGAATGAAACCAGAACTTGCTTATTTACCTTGATTTCTCCACAATCGTTTAACCACTGCAGCTTATATGGCCTTGGATTCTTCATCATAGGTAAATTAAGCTTTTCAACTAAAACAGTGCTAGCTACAGTAGTAAAACTACCACCATCAATAATCACACTACATACCTTGTTTTTGACATGGCATCTCGTGTGAAATATATATTGTCACGTTGTAATTCATCATCTTCTTTGACTTGCACATTCAAAGCTCGCCTAGTGACAAGCAGTTCTCCATCAACGGCATATTCCACCTTCTTTTCCCATTCCAAATACATATCTGGATCATTTTTGCCTTGAAATGGAGGAATCTTCATCTTGATGCTGCCTAAGTCATGATCTTGCCGATCTCCCCACCTTGCTAGATTTTGGTCTCCTTTGTTAAATCTATATCTTTGACCCCCTCTACCTCTCATAAATCTGTCCATGCTGAAATTTGAGTTCTGGGCATCATCATTGAATGCATCTTCATCATTGTCATCAAGATCGTGATTATGCAAATTTGGACTTCCATTATGTATTTGGTATAACTTGGCAATGGCTGCATCTTGCTTCTCCATTTTGTCTTTAATTTCACCAAACATGATGTCTAGCTTCTGAAATTGTTGTTGCATAGCTTTGAGCATGAAGGAATCATCCACTTGGAGCTTTCTGTCATCACCGCTTGACATGATTGAAACCTGCAAGGAATGTTAGAAACATAAAATAAAAGGACCTCACAACACTCCCTTACATGTTTCACTCCACTCTCTGACAGAATGGCACTCAACACGTGTTTTACACACTATAGAACTTGGCTTTTCTCTCAAGTGTTGATCACACCTCTTGCCTTTTTTCCCTCACTCAACTTTCCTCTTTCAGTTCGTTATTGAACTAAACAAGCTCAATTTAAGTTATTTTGCAGCAATCTAACTCCAACAAATCTGCAACAAGAGTTAAAGGAAACGAAAAGACATGAAGGAACCAACAAGAAAAGCAATAAAAGAAACAAACTGAAACGAATTAAAAGAAAAAAGAAAGAAAAAAAATGGAAATTCGATTGAAACACAATGCAGGAAAGACAAATCAGTTCTAACACTTCCTACTAGGTATTGACTTGACAATTCCTTAATGTAGCAGGATTCCTAACCTAGGAAGAAATAAACAAAATTGCTATCTCCTTGTTTGAATAGAATTCAAAGAAAATTTCCCAACTCCTTATTGTAGTGGGATTTCTATTCCTTAATGTAGTAGGATTCCTAACTTAGGAAGGAATAAACAAAATTGCTATTT